ATATCTGCCCCTCCCACTGACCGTACCAATCACACCACCCCCTGTTAACCCCCCCGTCTCTTCCCTCACCGTTCCGTGCCCCTCAGACTGGACTGGCCTTGGCCTCAGAGAGGGCTCCCCCAAGTCCCCTCGGGCCAACCCCAAACCCCCTAAAAATTTAGTAAAACATCCCTCTAAGAAGACACGTAATTTTCTTCTCCTTAGTTCCCTAGTTACTGTTGCTGTATGCCACCTCTCGGGGTTCCACACCCCTTCATCGAGGCAGGCCCTTGAGATGGTATTAGGCCATGCCTGCGCGATGGGGGAGTCGCGCAGGGCCAGCAGTTCCTCCCTGGAATACAGTCAATCCACAACGGGGAGTCCAGCAGCAGAGTGGGGGGGAGGGAAAAAACCTCATGATAGTCAAAGTCAGGGTCGTAGATGGATGACGAGAAAGCAGCAACGGTTTATTGTTCTTGTTGTCTCCCATAAGGGGGGGGAAATGGCAAAATCAAAGTCCGCCGGGCCCCACCCGCACAAACCTCCAGATCCACCTCCAGATCCACGCCGGGCCCACACCATCTCCACAGAGGCCGGCTGCAAGTTCTTCTGCTGGAGGGCCTCAAACCGGAACAGCCCTCCCCCGGCCCTCAGCCTCCATGAGGCATGGGCCCAGGCGTTCACGCTCGCCTGGCACTCACCACCGAGCCCTGTTCCTCCGCGGGGGACGCCAAGCTGCGTCTCCCGCTGGGCCTCGTCCTTCAACCGTACCGCTGTACCGCCCGGACCGCTGTGCCGGTGTGCCGTCTGGGCCGCTGTGCCGCTGTGCCGCATCCCCCTGGGCCGCTGGGCTGCTAGGCCGCTGCAAGGCCGCCGCTAGGTTGCCGCTGGGGCCGCTAGGCCACCGGGCCGCCAGGCCGCATTCCCCGTCGCGCCAAGATCTCTCCAAACCGGGGTCTCCACCCACGGCTCCGCCCGCGGCTCCACCCAGCCGCGACCCGGTGGTCACGCGGCGAGCTGCTAGCCTTCTCCGCTCGCCGAATTTCAGGGTCGCCGAGGAACCCCGACCCTCCAGAGGCTCCCCATCTCCGCCGAGGACTCCGCGGAGCTACGGAGCCGATCCCAGTAAGTCCGCCATCCGCAACAGCCAGCAGTCTAAGTCATCCTGGCCTCACCACAAAACCTGTTTGTCGCTGCCACCCGTGTGCAAACCCGGCCTGTTTTTTGTCCTCTTCTCTCTCTCAGAGTTCTTGATAGAAGAAGCTTCCTCATCTTTTTTTTGTTAGTTTGCAGTCAGGGACTGATTAAGGGAGAGATTGTTTCTTGATTTAGATAGTTCCAATTATAAATGGAAGCATTTTTGAAACACACATACACAGAGAGAATTTTTATTTATAATATAATAATGATAAAGTTGGAAGGGACCTTGGAGGTCATCTAGTCCAATCCCCTGCTCAGGCAGGAAACCCTATACCATTTCGGACAAATGGCTATCCAGTCTCTTCTTTAAAACTTCCAGTGTTGGCGCATTCACCGCTTCTGGAGGCAGGTTGTTCCACTGGTTAATTGTTCTAACTGTCAGGAAGTTTCTCCTTAGTTCTAGGTTGCTTCTCTCTTTGGTTAGTTTCCACACATTGCTTCTTGTCCTGCCTTCAGCCGCTTTGGAAAATAGCTTGACTCTCTTTGACTGAGTCTACATGCTGCATCTGTTTTGCTGACTCTAAAACAAAATAAATATTTTCTTTCTTTCTGAGAACGCTTTGTTTAGTGCTCTGTTAGGCCCAACAGGCTAGCTTTGTGGCTTGTGGAGTCCTCTAACTCCCTGCTCTAGCAGCCCTGAGGAGGCTGCAACTTGAAAAAAGGCACTTCAGCACCACCCACCATGCTGAAGAAAAGCACCCCCTCCTTCCCTATAAAAGGAGGAATTGCAGCAAATGTTGTGGGCAAGAGAGAGCATTGTGAGCTAACCCTGCCTGCCTTAACAAAAAAAAATTGACTGAAGAATACTTGGATCGGAAGGGGCAGGGAGGGTCAGACAGCAAACACCAATTCTTGTTGCCAGAAAGGAGTCAGCAGCTGGTGGTTTTGAACCAGAGACTCAGCTACTAAATCTTCTTCATCTTTTCTACTGGGGGCTTTTAAAGGCTGACACGTGCCTCGAGAGGACCTTCCTCCAGGACTGCTGCCCAAATGCTGTGCTTCTCACAGACAGATGCCGTCCCTTGTTCTACAGTCCTGTTTTCCCTGACAGGAGGAGGAATAGGTGACTCCCCTTGACAGATGATTGTGAAGGGAGAAAGTAGAGGGACTCATTGACCAAGCCAGAGAATCAAAGGAGTTATTTACTCTTTGTTTCTCTTGGTTTTCCCACCCTCTCTGTCTATCCCTAGGGTCATAATCTCTGATCTTCTAAGCCATAGTTTCTTACTCCCTTTACAACAGCTACCCATCCATACATTTATTCCTTCAAGCCCAGGGTAAATAACAGCCACTAAACAGGCTAATTCCTCTTCAGAATTTCACCAGAGCCTTTAGAAGATGCCTGTTTAAGTCAGTCTCTTAAACGCTTCGGACTGTCAACAGTCCAAGGGAATGTTGATGGCAAATCTACTAACAATAAAGTAATTGCCCAATGAATGTAGACAGCAAATTCTTTATTGTAAGCAGTTACTAAGATTATGATGTTATATTTCAAATATCCACAAGATGTTTCCACAATTTAAATCTTTCTTTGTTCTTCTCAGCAGATTCTCAATATAGAATGCCTATCTGCATTTTGGAACGCAAATTCCACAAATTCTGAGATAGCGATCATATCCATTCAGAATTAAACCAACTCATTTCATCTAATTCAGAAAATCAGGGGCAGCCCACTAGGTAGACCAGACTAAGAAATAGACTTCAAAGGAAGACTGAAACTACTTTGACTGAAATTGACTATAATAAAATAATCTTATAGTCTGATCCTGCTGGACCTTCTTCTCCTTCTTATAGTCTGTCGAATTTCTCTGGACTTAAAAACTATTTCAGCCCTTTTTTCCTAAAAAAAAAATAAAGGTCATGTTTTTTTTCCTCTATAGTTAGAGATAGAAGGTTGACTTGATATAATTGGGTGTATTTCAAATATCGGATACTTAGAAATGATAAAAACTGGGTATCCTTTGCTTGCCCTGTTCTGAAAAAATTGGGGGAAGCAAAATTTGTTTATTTACATTTGCTTTTTCAAAACATTTATATGGCCATCCAGCTCAAACAATTCAACTCTGAGTGGTGTATAAAATTCATTAAACAAAAATACAAAAGGAAAACAGTACAGGTAGTCCTCAATTTATGACCACAATTGAACCCAAATTTTCTGTTGTTAAATCAGTCATATCTTAAATGAGTTTTGCTCCATTTTACGACCTTTCTTGCCACAATTATTAAGAGAATCACAATTAAGTGAATCACTGCAGTTAGTAACGCGGTTGTTAAGTGAATCTGGCTTCCCCATTGACTTTGCTTGTCAGAAGGTTGCAAAAGGTGATCCCATGACCCTGGGGCACTGCAATAGTTGTAAATATGAGTCAGTTGCCAAGCAGCTGAATTTTGACCATGTGACCATGGGGATGCAACAATGGTGGTAAGTGCGAAAAGTCACTTTTTTCAGTGCCATCGCAACTTCGAACAGCCACTAAACGAACTGTTGTAAATCGAAGATTACTTACATGTGCCACTGAAACAAAATAAAACAGTTTAATGGTTTGTTGTATTCTACCAAATGTGACCTCTGTTTATCTTGACTCAAGTTCTTGGGTTTTAACTGCTTAAAGTACTTACTGTACTGGTCCACTTTGGCAAAGGCAAGTCAGATATTAGATAATCTACATGGTGCTTTTTTCCCCCAACAACAACAACAACAAACTGGCACTAAGGAAAGCGAATTCATTTCTAAGATAGAATCATGCAGTTTTACTTTTGTAAGTGAAAATAATAGTATTATTTCCATGATGATGATCTGCTGCAGTCATCCCCCCCCCCTAGGAATAGCTTATAATTTAAATTTTGGAAGTTCCTTGCTTGCTTTTGTTGTCGGAGCAGAATTATCTATACATGTATATATATATATATACCATATATCTATAATAGACATAATAGATATAATATTTCACATTTCACAGCCCATACAATTGGACAGGACAGGATAGCACCTTCAGTCAACTCACTGAATTGGAACAAAGAAAATATTGGAAGGCTTGTAATAACAAATGAATAAATAAGGTTATTTTTATCAGGTGTTTTTTCATCCAAGCTTTTACATCCTTATCTGGAGATGGATTATTGAAGCAATTTTGCTGCAGAAATTTTTTTCTTGGCTAAGAATCAGGGAGTTCAAAAGTTTGCTTTGCTTTCAAAGTAATGAAGCAAATTTTTTTTTCCTCTTCAAACCTATTTCATTGTCAACCATTTTGAACATGCTTTTATGGAAAAGCTGTGTTAATATTTTGATGCGTACTTCTCTTCATATTTTATGCCACAGTTACTAAAAACACAGTAAAATTGTTGAAAGCATTAGCTAAGTATTTCATAACTATTTCCATAACTATTTAGAGACATCATCTTTGGGTTATCTTTCAATTTTTGAAAAGGAATAAGCATTGATCAGCTTTTAAAGCAAATCAGTATACAGTAGTAGCAAATCAGTATACAGTTTATTTAAGATATGTTTATAATTAAATGCAGTACAGATAAATAAAATTGTATGCCATATACACCAACATCATTGTAGGAAATTAGCTAATGCAATATAATAATCAATATAAATGTTACCTAATACTATAATGAGTTAAGTTTTCTGGCTTCATAAATGTCCATCATAAAGAAGCATTTTAAGGGCTTTTAAAAAATAAGGTATTGGATGCAGTAATTAGTTAGGCATAAGTCAAACCAGTCATTTATAGACTAAGTAGCTTGTGAATACTGATGTGTGTGAGAATATTATTTGAATATTCATGATAGTAAGACTTTCATTTTTTATTCAGTTACAGAAACCGAAGATCCCAAATTTCCCAAGATCCAGTGGCCTCCCAAAAGCTTGTGTCCTTCATGTCATTACACCTCAACTGATGGGGGAAAGTCTATGTGGGATGAGAATCGAGTCTTGATGTTTCTCAAGTGGCATTTTTCTGAAAAAAACATTTACATGGATTCTCCCCTAGAGCATCACAGAAGAAATGGTCGAAATGTTGCTCAACAAAATCATGAAGGTGAACGGAAGCTGGAAGGGGGAGGAAGAGGAGAAGAGGATGACCAAGGCAATCAAAAGGAACCAGATGAAGAGAAGAAGGCAGAGCAGCTAGCGGCAGGGAAAGTGGAAAAGAAGAAATATGGTTTGGGAAAACCTGGTTCTCCAGAGTGGCATAAACCAAGCATTGTCAAGATGAGCACAAAGGCAAAAGAAATGGTGGAGGATATTGTTGATCTTGATACATTTAGTGAGCAGCATTTTAAGAGCAAAGCCTTGAAGATGGCAAGACAGATTAGCGACAGAGAGAGGCGGACTAAGAGGGACACTCGGCTGTTCCTGATGGAGAATGAGGGCCACCGCTCACTTGATTATATTAGAGAGTCCCTGAGGCACAAGAACTTGGGAGCCAAACAGTTCTCTGGCATCCAAGTGGAAAAAGAGAATACTTTGAGGGGAAAACAGTGGATCTATATTCTGGGAATGGGTTTCTCCCGGTTGGATGTCAGCTTGTGTGTGGTCTTGTATTTGCTTTCTTCTGTCTGCCTGTTGGGCATGTACACCTTCTTCCGTATGCGCATGGGTTACCGCAAGGCCCGGTTAGGCTACTCATTGACATGAAATTGAAGCAGAGGTACAGCAGCCATTAGGTAATGGAAGGGGCATGTGCATATCAGTTTTATGTGGTGATCTTTCACTAAACTAACAATTCCTGTACTGAATATACACAGATGAAAAAAATACACAGATAATATATTGGTTATGAAGGATGCATATCAGTAGAGTATACTATTGGACCTCCTAAAACATATAGAAATTGCTACTTCTATATAAGAAAGAGTACCTAGTGAGCAGACTGGTCTGTTTTATCACAGTTGCTAGATCATTTATATATATTTGTGATTCTGTACCAGAATAAAATAGCTGAGTGTAGTGACAAAAGGGGCATGGAATCATATTTCAGAGCACACGGTGACAGGCTGATTTTCTGAGGAATTGGGGGCTCTTTATTGTTTTGGTTTGTGGTGGTGGGAGAGGATTAATAAACAGAAATGATTCAGATCTCATTAGATAAATGTAGTACGATCCTCTTTTCAACAGTCAGAACGTAACACAAAAACTGTTGCTGTTTTAAGAGAGAGAAAAAGCACGACAAGTTTAGGACCAGCAACAAAGTTGTATTTCTGAAATCTTTGTGACTTGTGTCTTGAGGTATGTCCAAGCCCTGTAACATTGTGAAGAAACCTTATGGTCTAGGTATACAAGCAGCCTAAAATACTGTGCTGGAAGATCTCTTGAACTTTTAATCTGTTTTCCAAAGCTTCTGTGCCACTATAAAATTACCCTTAGTAAAACCAGATATGTGCGTTGTTTGCAAATGGTGGTAATCACGCAAACAAAAAAGAATTAGGTTCTCCCTTCCATAGCCATCTAAAATATAAATTGAGGGAGTTTTCTAGCCCTTCTGTATGACTTCTTGGGGTCCTGCATAGAATATACTTAGTGCTATACGTTGCATGTATTTCCCATGCAGCCCAGCTTCTTCCCTTGATCAGATGACAGAAGGCAAAACAGCCCTTAAGATTTTTGAACTTGAACTCGTAGTGTAAAGAATTAAAGGCAGCTGGCAACAAGTTCGGGTCAAGACTGTGCAGTGGAATAGATAGATCAGTATGAGTCAAAACCTCCTAACCAGGGCAGCAGTTTTTACTAGCTGCTATCTTTGTTTCAGTCATTTTGCTGCGTCCTTTCTCTTTCTCTCCATATCCTGGTAGCTTCAGCTTTGATGTCATTCCCCTTTCTATCCTACCCTGTAAACTTACATCTGTTCTAGTTTTTTAACCAGGTGATCTTCATATTTTACTTAATAGGAGAGAAGAAGTGTAAGCAAAGATGAATTTTTAGGAGTGTATCTATCTCTCCCTGAGCCATGAGTTGATGATTTTTGATATTATTAGAATTATCTCTGTTGGGGCACCTGCATTCAACTGGAAAGAGTTCTGGAGGAGGGGAAATTAATCAGGACCTCTAAGGATCCTTTTGGCCATTAGTTTAATTGCTGAGGATTACTTTCCAATTGTTTTTCAGCTGCCTCAGTGTGGAAAGAAATAGCCTAGTCTTGTTTAAAAAAAAAGAAGTTATTGATAAGTCAGATAAAGAGTTAATCTAGCAAGATTTCTTCACTGGGGAAGAAAGATAAGACTTTAGAAGGTAAAAGACAAATAATACGCCTAGCTGTCTAATAAAGACATTGTAAACTCCTATTCATTGCAGTTATCTGGTGCCATTACCCTAGGATGAACAACGAATTCTGGGAGTTGAAATCCACAGATTGTAAATTTACCATAGTTGCCTATCCCTATACTAGGAGGAAAGTAACTAGTCTAAAATGTTGTATCTTGACAAAACATCCAAAGGGAATTAATCACTAGCATCCCTCAATTTTTTAGATTTTTCCAGCTTATCAGGAATTGGATTTCTTATCTGGCTGAGATCAGAGAAAGCCATGGTCTGAATTTTAGGATCATATTGAGCTTGGTTTGGGAACTTGAATAATTTAATCCAATCTTAGATAGCTGGGATCTATAATGCTGGTGTCAGTTAGTTGAAATGACCAGTATTTCTCTCTCTCTTTTTCAAATAATCTTACTAAAAATTACAAGTAGGAAAAATAAAAACTAATAACAAACTATGAAAAATAGAAAAATAGAAAAAAATACAAAAAAGAAAGAAAGGAAAAACAGAAATAACACTCCCCTTCACCCTGGCAAGTAAATACAATTTCAATAGTTTAGTACTATCTCTCAGTACATCTACTCTATACACTCACAACTCATTTCTTCACTAGAAAACAAAATTCAAAAGCTTTGCCATTTGTTCTTTGTCATCAAAAGTCCAGTAAAGGAAACCAGGTATAACTAATTTTCTATTTTATCCTTGATTGAATAAGACAACACTGAATTTTTAACAACCTTAGGTTTTAAACCCTTTAAATATAGTCCCAGACTTTAATAGGTCTCTTTTGTAAGTCCAATAAGGAAAAAATTATTTTTATGGTTTAATTGTGCATCATTTGGCAGTGAAATATCCATCAGTTTCATTTGCATATTCAGTATATCTTTATATATATTTTCTGCCTGAAACAGTTAAGTCCACATTTTAATTTCATATTTATCCATTGTAGGTTATTCTTTTTGTGTAACTTCATTGTCCCATGTTCCATCATATCAAATAGCTTTGAAGACCAATATTCAAAAACATACATTAAGGCTTGTTGCTCCATTATTTATTTCTTTGTTAACAAAATAAATGTATTATCCTCTAGCTTCCTCTGGTGCCAAACCTTCAAGGTCCCATTATCATGTTTCCTCTTTAAAAAGCCCAAACAATCACCAATTCTCGCAAGAAGAATTTTTCTAATTAATTCAAAATTATAATTCCAGGGCTATCTGGACTTTTAATCCTTGTTACCATTCTAAAATCATATTCTATATATCTTTTTGCTGTTTAATTCAAAAGTTAATATTTTTCCAGAGCCTTTAAAATGACATTTAAAGCATCTTTCTCCAAGGAGAAAGCAACTCAATGAATACAGCAAATATTTTCAGGACAATAAAAGAAATAATTCAAAAAGTGATTAAGAAATGAGGGCCAGGCAGGCTTTATGTCTTTAAAAGGCTACTCTACAAGTATGAGCTTGATAATTCAGTATCCCTCCACTCTAGCCACTCAACATATAAGCTGACCACAAAACAACCTTTCCCTGTGATCTACTCACAAGGAGGAGCTATCTGGGGTCACATGGGTTATCTCAACAATCTCTCCTTCCTCCGGAGAGATTTTGCTGGTCATTCAGCAACAAATTTCCTTGTACACCTGGTCCTTCTGCCAACAGCATGTTTCTCAATCTCAGGAACTTGCTGTCTGGACTTCAACTCCCAGAATTCACTAGCCAGCTTGCTGAGGTTGAGAAACACTGGCCTAGACTAAATTTCATTGGACCGTAATATTTCAAATGATAAGAACTCTGATATCATTTAATGCTGTAGAATATTTAAGGCTTCCCTTGGTACAATGGCCTTTCTAACAATTATGTGCCATATGACTATGTGTCTGAGGTAATAGTATGGTTAAAAATAGAGAAATGAAGGGTCAGTAAAATTACTACCCCCAATTAAAATGTTATGGTCTGTGGGTCAAAGACTTAACTAAATGTTTACTATGAATCATATTTGCACTAAATGAGAAACACTAGACTTTCACAGGTAGCATATAGTTCAGACCAGCCTGGTTCCATATTGTAGAAAAAAATTTCTGAGAGTTTTGAAATACAGCTTTTTGATAGAACAAGATATTTCTTTAATTGTAAATTGCCACTGCATTCTCTTATGTTTGTTTACAGGTGACAATAAGCACCAGAATTATATTTCTTTTGTTTAATAGTTGTATGGGTGGTCAAGGTAAGATGTACTCTATACTCTATATAATTCAAATTATATAAATATCTTTCATAGGCTCTGTGATAAAAATGATGCTACCATTGCCTTGTTTCTTGTCTGTTAACATAATTGTAGTCTCGACTATTAATTTATTCAAGGGACAGTAGATTTGAAAGACTATTCTAAAAACCAGTTAATTCTTCGCTATCATCTGTTTAAAAGATTATAATTCGGTGTGCTTTTTAGTCAGATTTTTATAGCTAGGGTAGGAATTAATTCTTCTACGCTCATGGAACATAGGAACATACCAGTACTACTCTCAAAAACTGTGTATTGCCTCAAAAATTAATTTCAGAGTTCCTCAAGTCCTAATATAGTTGGTACTATTTGTACATGTATGAGAGTATGTGTGCTTGGACAAGGATGGGGAGTTTAAATGATTTACCAAATGCAAAGGATTAATACAAATAATAGAAGTATTCCTAATAACTCTATGTATTCCTTCTTCTCTGAGCAAAACTGAGAACAGTTCCCTTCCATTCACACAGTATATGGTGATGAAGACTATTAGAAGCCAGAATGTATTCTGTTGATCAGATCTATCCTGTAAACGGCCACTTGACTATCCTATAGTGACAATAATGATGTCTTCTTCATTCCTTATAATGTAAAATGCAGATGAAGATCAAGATCAAGACTAAAAACCAAAATCACAAAGTAGGCCAATAAGATTAAATAGTATGTCCTTCTTGATCAGATATATCTCTGACTCCAACTAAATAAGAAGGAACATAGTATTGAATGAGGTTTGCTGGTCACATTCTGCTTCATAACAAATGTGGTTGAGACTGGGATGGAGGATTGGGGAATTACCAAGCCACATACAGTTGCAAGAAAAAGTATGTGAACCCCTTGGGATAACGCGGAGTTTTGCATGAATTGGTCATAAAATGTGCTCTGAACGTCATCTAAGTCACAACAATAGAAAAACACAGTCTGTTGAAAATAATAATACACAAACATTACATGTTGCCATGGTTTAATTGAACATAACATGTAAACATTCACAGTGCAGGGAGG